CGAACAGCGCCATTCAATTTTGTAAGAAAAATTACTTGAGAAACACACTACGTTTTTTTTTGTAATATTCTTATTTCGTTGCTAAACATGATAAATACATAATACCCAATAAGTCATTTCTGTTCTTGTCTATTAGAGTGAAGATCGAAAAGAGTTTAATATGCGTATTAAAATTCCTCGCTATCATTATTATACTAGCTATGGACTTCTTGAATATTAATTTATTTATTAACATTTATGCAAATAAGTATAATACTCAAAAAACGTCATATTAAAAAATTTGAAAAAAGAATAAAAACTCGTATATCTTATTTTTACCCAATGTTCTAATTGGAATATCAAGTTTCTCTTGATCTCTACTACGCTAGCCATAGGCTTTAATGGGTTAATACTTGGTCAAAGTTGATTCGTGATTGTCGATTATAATTTCGATTATAATTTTCGGCAAAATATTAAAAAAGTAGGTATCAGCTGCATCGCGATATTAAGAAGGGCAAGATCACAAGTTAATGTTTCCGGTATTTACTACTTATTTAACAAAAGTCTTATGCACTGTCATATGTGAGAAAGCCCATATAAATATAGCTGAAACTATGCGATTCTCGAACGTAATATGAATAACTGATATAAAAAGAGATTTTGCAACTTTCTGCAAGCGGCAACGAGTTTGATCAATTGTCAGAAAAGTGACAGTAACGAAACAACGGTTAACGCACTTATTGTTAAAGAAATTCTTCGACAGACTACAAGGAATCGCGTGAAATCTGCCTATTCAAGTAATGATGCCATGTAATTTATAAGTTTTTATTTATAAAAAAAGTATAAAAAATCAATTTACGTATACATAGCCTTATAACGTTATACAGAGTACGTGCCATTTGTGATTCTCGATGAGGGACTAGATGAGATGTTGCTGTCGATTTCCGGTCGTATCAATGTCATCGACATGACGATGATTTTTTTTGTCATTGATTCCTGTGACGAGCTTTCCATTTCATTCAGATTTGCGTTTTTTATATGAGGTACTATAACTTCCCTTTGATGGCAGGAAACCACTTTCCAATTTAATAGGTCTTTCCCTGTATCTATAACAAAAACAAGTCGTTACATTTCAATACCTTGAAAAATTATCAATTGTTCATAATTTTCTTATGGTTTACTAGTATCTTCGTTACCAATTACACCCTTTAACTTATTATTGTTTTCCGGAAAATAAAATATTTTAATTAACACATATAAAAAAAATAGGTTTTAATGCGTTTAATTAACACATATAAAAAAAATACGTTTTAATGCGAACTTACATATTAATTAAATTCTAAATTTAAATTTATTCTACAAATATAACTTGAAGTGCACATTTTGGTTTGTACAAAAAGAAAAAATATTTACATTCCTCATGAGACACGTCATGGTTAAATCATTTGATTAATTCATTATTAATTTACTTTTTTAATTAACTAACTACTCTTTTGTAAAATATATATATTTTGTCATAATAAGTGAACTGTTAGTATGCTAATTTATATAATATTAGGTTCGACAGTCCTCTTTGACTCATTAATGTTATAAATTATTTCATATTACTCTGGAATTATTAAGTACGCATGATAACTATCATTAAAAATTGAAGCATACTTGTCCAAATTATTTTAACAGTCTTGTTTTATTTGGAATTCGACTGTAGAAACTGAACATCAAATATCTATATATTAAATCATAAAACTTACCGAGCTGCATCCTGTGCAATGATTATATGACTTGGTGTATAAGAATCCAGCAATGACTTTGGCTGGGCAGAAAGCTCATGATGACTTTTAACAACATAACTATTGTCAGTTCTTTCAGGTACAGCACTCAGTTGCGTAACATGATCTTTGAAATTCTGCGCAGGCAATTGCGGAAGGGCAAGATTAGATCTCGGTGCTTCAGGAATCTATAATAGTAATACAATAAGATATCGCGATATAAAAATATACTTCTGAGTTAAAAATTACACCAATTAATCGTATGAAAATTAATAAACAAAAATTAATAATCATCACTCACTTTAGCATAGTTTTGATGAACATTCTGTTGATTCGATTGATATAAAATGTTCTTTGTCAATTGTTCAGAAACCGACGAGGGTATATAGAACTGTTGTGGCTGAGTATAATGACTGTATTGGTTATACTGATTTGGTTGACTATATCCAAGTCCATTATCTTGCACATAAGCAGGTGCTTGAGCATGGAGATTGGAATAGATTGGCGTGCCTTGCGAATAAACGGCACCGGGCTGAGTGTAAACAAGCTGGTACTGTGTCTGAGGTTGCGTGAAGTAGGCGTTCGTGTAGGCAAACTTCGTAGGTTGACTATAAGCTTGCTGTTCAGGTTGACTGTATAGAGCTGTTGTATAAGCTTGTGGTGCAGAGTATACTTTCTGGGTAAACGGGTTAGTGGCATACACCTGGCTCTGAGATGCCTAAAAAATTTGGTATCAAGTTGTTAAACATGGTCATGAACATTCACTTTATGTAAAGTATAATATCTGTCAGCATGGTGGATACCTTGTTGGAGAATAATGCCTGAGTATGCTGAGGATATTTTGGGGCATAAGTCACGTATTGAGACCGAATTTGGTATGCAGGTCCATTTAGCTGATTTTGAGCAAGTGCTGGTCCGTAAACGGGGATAGAAACTTTTTGAGCAGCTTCGGTAGCCAAACGATGTAGCAGCGGCTGCACTTGACTCTTTGCTGCGCTAACTTGATTGATCGCCAGGTTCGGATAGTAGGACAGCAGCTGATTCGTTGGAATATCCACGTAGAGTGTGTCTGAAAAATTGTTTAATATATTTAGAAAAATGCTTAATAGAAAGAGCTCTGAGAGTTGCATTTACACTGCTCAATAGAAAGACAGGGTGGTGGGAAGATTTTGAACACAAAGGAATATACATATTTGTTTTCGTATCTTCGATGATCGTAAAAGATTCTCGATGCAATTGAATGGGACTTTCGAATTTACAACGAGAGCGACTTCCGTTATCGTTGTATTATCAAAGTTTCACCAAAGAAAGTGATGAAAGGGTAATACCTTTGTTCGCGTCCTGTACGTATCTTTCTGTAGCGGCTTTCTGTTGAACGCTTTGTATCTGATTTCCGACTACTACTTCCGGTTGGTAAAACTGTTGCTGTTCGTATGCCGCTTGGGGGCTGCTTACTATCTTCTGCCCCACATCCGATTGTTGATATCCGGTGTAGTATTGTAATGGAAGTGTATTTTGCTGGCTTGATGGTAAAATAGTGTTCTGGGCCTGGTAAATCCCATCATTTCCGGAGTACTTGGCTTCTTGATTGTAATCCTCGGGTTTCACCTATTCGTTACAAGATTTCAAATAATAAATTTATTTATTTATTTCAATGCATCAGCATATATTGCCATTAGAATTCAGCATACGCGATATGTTATTGTTCAAACCGAATAAATTTTTATATTAAATTTCATTTGGTAATTGCAAATGTGTTGTAAACTAATAAAAAGATTCAACGTACCGTGTATTTAATATCTGAAGTTTGCTGGACACCAGTATAACCAGTTGCCTGATTGTTCACAGTCTCATACTGGTTACCTTTCTGTTGATATTCCTGTTGACGATTCACTTCTGGTTTTACGGAATACTTAGTTTCCTGCGGCTGAATGGTCTCATTTTCCACTTTGCCTTCCGATCTAAGGTTGTCCCTCTCAATATCGTCTAAATTGATTTTCTTCTCTGCAAAAGCTACGGCGCAGAGGAGGCACGCAATTATATAGATTCTCTACGATAAAAAACACAAATATATATTTATTAGTATCTCTTAAGAAAAATTAAAGTTATAACAATTCTGTTTGAAATCGAAGAAAAGAGCATTGCAATACTAATAAATCAACAGTCAATTTATATAGTCAGTTATATGACTATAAATAAATCGTGATATACAAATAATATCGAGATTAGAAAAATCAAAAGTGTTTCATATAGTAATCGTATAAATAGAACACCTAATTAATATTGAAATTGTGGATTATACGTTATAATTATACAAAATTATTAACCAAGCAATGAAATCATTAACCAACTCTTGAATCATATGATCAATATGATTTGATAATAAAGTTTTATAAAAAATTTAAGCAATAACAAATAAACAAAAAATTCATATAAACGTTGAAAGCATGTATATGAAATATAAACAATTTTTAATAGTATGGCTATCGAAATCAAGCAAAGAAATATGATCATAGAAAACGAATGATAATAAAAATTCTTTTTCCCAATCACCATTATTTCGAGTTCCGGTAGAAAAACGACACGTATGTCAGATGCACTTTCACTGTTCCTGATGTTCTGGGTCAAACATCCGGCATGGACCACTCTTATATAGAATGTGTCTGGTTACGCCCCGAGGTAGTACCACTCCCAAGACTAAGTGTATCACCGTATACATCCCAAAGTAAAAGTCTTTTCTTTTTTGATCCCACCACTTAAAAATTGACAAGGAAGCGTAAACAGCACAGTCTGCGATTTGCAAAAACTTATTTTTAAAAAAGTCTCATGAAATCTTAATATACATATTTAACTCTCCCAAAATTTTATTCACGTTTTTTATCTGTCCATACATTACATGAGAAAGTTCGATACAAAGTTATACGCATAGCAAAACTCTTAATGCATACAATATCAGGTATGTTTACGTTTCTTAAAAAATAATGTAAAAATCGTCTAAAATTGATTATTGCAATGAAAATAATAAAAATTATTACTTTTCAAAATATTTCACCCTATTGATATTCTGCAGGAAACTTCATGAAATTTTTATAAGAAATTAACAAAAGCTCTGCCCAAACAATGAGCTGAATATTGCTCGTCATATCCAAACGTAATTATAATTTCTCTTAATTTAATCTTCAACATTAATTCCTATACTAATAAATTAGCAGTAATTAATTTCTCTCATGTATATAAAAATATTATACCTACCATGACGGAAGGCAATCAAATTCGCACACGGCACAAGGAACCTAGCTCTACTATAAAACCAAAGCTGATTTCCTTCACTTATATAGCCTTTACCCCTACCCAACACACCCCTCAACTTGCTTCTCTCTTTAAGCTTCTTTCTGTTATAACGGACCATGCGGATCTACCATGACCAGACATCAAATTATGCTTACTCCATGACCAGCAACATTCACTTGGGGAACCGACTGACGATGAGCATGAACATATATCTATCGGTCTTCTGATTCCAATCATAAAAAGTATTAAATAATGAAATGACACTTTCGTAGCAAGATTGACACGCCTCTTGCTGATCATGTCAATCGGTTCTAAGTTCAGCCTGCATAACTTTAGAATTTCTCATGAGTACAAAATTGCCCAACTATAATACAATAGTATGGCGCGTTAATGAAATATCCAATGATTTTATAGCAAAGACTATTAACGTGTGTGATGAACAATTTGGTAGTGGGGTTTATGCTCGAATCGTCAATGTTTATTAGTCTCTATTAACATTCTATGAGCGGCCTTATACTGTTGTTTTTTTTTTCATGTATTTTGTACACTGTTAGACAGGTTATTTTGCTTTCGGTTATATGATCTGATCAGTTTATCGTCTTAAATTATCGCCCCCTGAATAATGAGCCTAAAGAAAGGTATAGTGATATTTTTACCATTTAAAATAATGTGCACCAGTTCCTTGTTGGATTGAGATTCGTACAGTTAGTGATATAATACTTTAAAATTCTTATTATACAATTAGTGACTGACAGTAGAGGCAAAATGAAAACTTTCTGTACTTCCTTCAACATAGGTGAAGTTACCTTATCACGAGACATGAGTTTAATAAACTTTCAGTAACGTTTAATCTCACGTCAGGAAGCTTATCGCCGTATCAGGAAAGTCTAGCTTATGGAGATGTTTAATCAACTGTTTAATCCACGACTATTAAAGGCCAATCATCCCACGAGAAAGGATTCTTAAAGTAACCTAATATATAACACGTATCAGTATAATTATGCTGATTCAAGGGATTATGGAAAGTAGCATTATGAAAGAGATTGCGATTTTAAATTAACGCCGTTTGCTATTCTAATCATTGATCATCATAAGCATGAATAGAAAAGTGATTGACAGCACGAAAGAAGAAAGGACGACGCTCCAGAACACGTTACAAAAAGTCAAATTTTGTCCAGAAATTTTTAACGAGCATGTCAAATGACCTGCGGTTATGCTTCCGGCACAAAACCATAATAGCACCTGTATCTAATTATACGGTTCACTAATACAAACCGAATATGAATCGTTCCTTTATTTTCCACCCTGCCGAAGTGGCATAAGTAGTAGGCAACTTTCTTTTTTTCAATGGTAGCCAATGACGTACCGAAAGATGAATGATGGGCGCTTGTGTCTTGAAGGTAAGATATAAAGCGTGATGAGATGATACATCGGAGAATATGAAACGAAAGCAGAAAATTATTAAATTCGAAGGATATCGTACCTTTAGGTTTTTTTTGGATCAAGTATAACTGGTTCGAAAATATTATAATAACTGAATTTCTGTCGGATATTATGTAATGTATGTTAGCCAATAAAACGATCGTTTAAAGTTATTTCGCATTTTATGAAATTGGGTTAATTTCGAAATGTAAAGGTTATATGCTGTATATGGGACCTTAAATATCTACTTTCAAGAATTCCAGATTTATCAGAGTTATGTGGCATCGAAAGAAATGACTGTTATTTTTAAATCTCCTTCGTTATATTATACAAATATTACAAAATACATTAATTTATGATACTCGATCACGCAAGACACCGATAGGGTACTTTTCTATGTATTGAGCAAATTTAAGTAAATATTAGAAACATTTTCTTTTTTGTCGAATCATTTTTATTTAAAATATATTTATTTAAAATCATTTTTATTTAGAAGAATTATGAATGAAGATTGCATTCGATAATCATGTAATTTAATGCAATAGAAGATGTAATACCTAGTTATACCAGTTTTTAACGACAGAACGATAAAATCAGTGACACGTAACTATGTCTTGAAAAAATGAAATAGCGCAACGTTCGTATCGCCATTTTAATAATTGAAATGAGCTTACAGGAAAAAAAATAATACTTAATAGACTCATCGACGATTTTGTCTCTTTGGCTATGTGAACAACTTGCATTGACTGAACTGAAACGTGGAAGGAAACTTTGAACGACTCGCGCTCTCTATTGTTACAGTTCCTGCATTGTCACATGAGACGACTGAAGAGAAGCCTAATTGAAAACCTTCCTTTTTTCTCGAGCGACATCAATTTCCTGAAGGCGTCCACTTTCTAGCAGCCTGAGGGTACAGAGTACGCCTTTAGTATAGATTGCACTTTATCTTACAAAGGCCGTTCTACTGCACTCGTATCCTAAGTATCAACTCCAATTAAGCTGAAAACTTTCCCAGCCGTAAACGTCAGAAATTACGTTTCCGCTTTAGAAATGGCAAGTGTAAAATACTTTGTTAAATAAATTATGCTATAAACATAAACTATACAAAAAATATGAAAAAAAAAATGCATTTAGTGGTAGTCAAGACGCTCGCCGTGAATCGGAATAAAATATAATCTTTGATTACTGATAATCTATAATTCAGAGTCAAGTAACACGCGTGAAGAATTATATAAAAAATAGACTGTGACCTTTTGATTTTAACTTTCTAAAATTCAGAATTCGCACAGCCACCTATTACATTTTAATCGTCGATTTCCTTTACGTAGAGGCTGTTCACTTTATCATCCCAATAGATAAATTCAGCGTTTCCTTTTTCATAGTTGATGGGCACGTACATCCAAACCATCGACTTTCGAGTCACCCTACATGCTACACATCGTATTGAGATCACCGTTTTGATGACCGCGAGAAAGTAAGAGGCAGGTCTATATGATTTTATTTTAGACGGCTATACATTCGCCGAGAATGTCAAAAATAAATTAAAACATTTCAACCGTCGGCTCTCCCTTTCTTCATTCTCCTTTTCTCATCTCTCTTCGAGCGCTGTTCCTCCATCTCTCCTTCTCAAGTAAGGAGAGTACTCTCTCGCAGCAGGGCGAGATCCATTCCTGGCCATCTTTTACAAACAGCTTACGCCTCCTTCACGGTATATCTTTTTTAAATCTTTTTTTTCGTTTTTTCGAACACGAAGCGTGAAAAGTTACTGGACTCTACTATACGATTCACTGTAGCTAATTGAAACACGCGTCTAATTAGGCCAACCTAGGCTTCGTTAAACGTACTGTTGTTACGTGGCGCTATGAGTGCCACGTCACAGTGTGATTACAATTACCGATGGGATTTTTGAACAGGCCATTAACTACGGAAAGTTTGATCACGTCCCGAAAGTTTAGATAGAGATAGTAAGACTCTCAATCCTTTTCACTTTTTTATTATTCTGTAACACCTTCATATTTCTGTTAAATCAGTGAGGACGTGCAAGGTTAGATCGATGATCCATGATCCGGCAAAAGCAATGAGTAAAAGTTCCACAACTCAACATGACGTCGATCGAAAGACAGATAAATATATATTTTTAATTAATTATAGATGGGCAATTAATTTCTGACTATTTCGATCGACTCAGCAGGTTTTTCGTCGAATTAACGTAGCCACATAAATATACGCACCTGTCGCAGAAATTATAAAATATTGCAATTGGATGACGTCTTGGGCTTTGCTTCGTATATAATTATTTTGTAAATTACAAACCAGTGATGGGTATCAAGCATAGTCATTTTCATTTTATTTTATTTCTAGTGACTATAATGTACGTACAAAGCACACATAAACGTGTGAAGATAAACTTAAACAGAGTTCTTTTAGTCTTAACCTTTTACAATTCTTATTCGAATTACATTTTTGAGCTCCTAGCGTCTTAAAAGTTTCAAACCTACGATCAATCGTTATAATGCGACAACTTCAGAATCCATGCTTTTATCCGAACCATATAGGCATACTAAAATATTAGTCATTAATCTTACAGTAAGTACTGCCTGCACTTGACATCATATTAAAAGTGAAATTTTTATACCATTTGGTTACGTCTTTTCAATATCATTCAACGTAATGATTTCAATTTTACTTTGACAAAAGTTCTCGTTACTGCGCATACTGTGCGTTAAATATTACTATGAAGACTAAAGAGGTTATAATCGGGTACAGTCGGTAGACTGAAAACGAACTCATTCAAACGCTTGTACCCCAGCATCTATTCTTATGTTATAAAAAACTTTTTTTATACATGATATACTTATCCCTTGCCATTTTGCTTTGTACCAAAATTCACGTCGTCCAGACTCGTCTTATATTCCTGCGTGTGTTGCGACGTCGAAGGTAATGGATGATAATTAGTATACTGATAACTGTGAGAATTTGGAGTTCGAACTGTTATCAAATTTTGATTTTGGTAAGATACCGCTGAGTGACCTTGATCGTAACCATAGTTCTGATCGGGTTTCTGATTCCCAGCTGCGATCAACGGACCCTCGTATTTCTGGGTCAGGTGAGTCGGCGGAGACTCATAGCCGCCATATTCGGTAGACTGAGTTGTCGCTTGACCTTTGGCTAGTTTTGCAGGTGGCACATACAAGCTTTGGGATTCCTCAAATGTTACTCGTGTTACCGGTTTCTGATGATACTGGCCATTTCGGTATTCTTCGCTTTTGGTAAGAATCGTAGGACTGCTTGAGCTGAGACCAGGATTTCCCGTTTTCCATAAAGAGTTTGAATTTATGTAATATGGTGCATTATCTGTGTTCTTCATTACAGAATTTTGGTTGAAAAAGTGATTTTGCTTGTTATCATGAATGTTCCCTAGAGAGTTTTGTGGTACCGTGTACATCAGACCGGTTTTACCGATTCCACTAAATTGTCCGAGGTATGAAGGATCTTTCAGAGATTTCATAGGAGAATTTTGATTTATGAAATGTGCCTCATTTGATTTCAGTATATTATTTTGATTAGATTCGAATAGGCTACTTGGTAGATGTCCCAAATTCTGTGCCAAAAGTTTTGCCATAGCTTGCTCCAATTGCTGAACCTTCGCGTATGCACTTGGTAAAGGATAATCAGGACTCACTGGTTGTCCTGCCACACTGATCACACGATACGTTGTCTTTGGTAATTGTAGACTTCTGAGATGTAAATCCGATAAGCTGTCCATTTGATTATATAAGGTTGGTATCCTATCCAAATTAGCAATATTGACCTGCTCCTTGGAACTTGAAGAAATTGCGTTAGAAACTTCTGTCTGATTATCGGATGAATTTTTAATAGTATTTGATGATCCTTCGTTCTCGATTTTCTTATTTTTTCCCTCACTCTTTTCTTCTTCATGTTTTTTACTAGATTCTGATTCCGAACCTTCCGTTTCACGAGGACCTGACATATCTGGTCTTGAGTAAGCAGGCGGTGGAGGGGAATTGAAATAATTGGGATAGGGATATGGTGTTTGAGGATAATAGTTACCATAAGAATTAGGCGAATACGGTGGGGAATTGTAAGGACTCATTGGAAAAGGCGTTGAAAATGGTCCATACATGCTGTAAGGTCCTTGACTAGGTGAAGGAGGATAGGAACTTGGATTATAGAAAGAAGAATATATTTCAGGCGAAGGATTTTTTGGATAAGGATCATAACTCGGATAATAAGGATCTCTTTGATGATTATTACTAAAACTGGCTGTGTAAGAGTCTCTTGCGTCGGCATCCGGTACATAAAGTTCCGGTCTTAAGTAAGGCGGATATTCCCTTTCAATTCCACGTTTCATCAACTTTGGATTGTATGGATACACTGGGTATATCGGCATGAAGGGTTCATCATTCGGATCCGCGTTCCCCCGATACGTTTGAGCAAATATGGCTGGCGACAGGAGCAGGAACAACTGAAATCGTAAAATAATTGCGTACCTTTTAATATTGTCTGCTGGACTCAAAAGTAAACCGCACTGTTACTTTATGAAAATTGTACACGATGATTAAGAAGAGCACTAACCAATAGCTCCATGTTCACTCAACACCGTTTATGAAATATGCTAAAGCACAGGTCGCAGAGATGTAACTTCAAAATCTTGTATCGGTGTCCTTTATGTTCTTTCAAAAAATTCTTATAGTCTCGTTCAACGCAAAGATCAGCTAGCGAATGATAGATTGGCCGTCCTTGAATTTCTCTTTTATACCGTGTACATTGAAAAATCTGAGAAACTAGTTTAACTTTTCTTTAGTCTTATACGTAGAATCGACATTAACCCCTTCAGCTCGGATAGTGAAAATGGAGTGGCGAATAGTAGATATACTCAAAGTTTAAAACAAGTATAGCGAATTAAATGAGTTTGCTCAGAAAATCAGGTTTGTCCGGCTCATCTCGATACGTTTTCCAGTAAAACGCCGATTTAAACTTACTGGGCGTCGTACGCCTAATCTAATCTGCAAAATTTCTTCGTTCATTAACACGTGGCGGAACTTAACGATTATACATGAAATATATGTATATAAAGAATTCTCGAGAAAATAGCTGCAACATAATTACATGTAAAGGTGCAGTTAACATTGAACCGTGGGCGTGCGTGACTAGGTCGATTAAAGTGCCTTTCCCAAAGACTGTGAAGAATCGACAGTGGGAAGAGCGCGGGTAATTCAAACGTGAGCAAAACAATTGAAAATAAGAGGACGGGGAAACAATCAATCCAATAAACATTTTTGTTGCCTGTGGCACTCACTATAAGAACGTCGTGTGCCGGTTTTCATTCTTGATTGTTTTAGAAGCGACAGATACCGATCCACATCCGATCTCCTTTAACGACATGATAGATCATTTCACTTTCACCTCTGCTCTCTGTCGATAAATGAATCGAGAACGTATACTGGCCACACCTTCGTTAATAAAAAAAAAATATTGCGATCGATGGCTAAAAGCATAAGAAAAATCTTATACTGATGAGTAACAATCAGTTTTCTCTTGTGTATCGACTATCAGCTGATATTAGTTATGCAAAATTCGTTCATAAGACGAGAAAACGTTATCCAGCTAAAATATAGACTTTTGTTTTTTTCAATGAAATTTTCTCTAGTTCCGATTGATGAATTTTCGGTTCTAACGAAGCAAATAAAAAATATGAGATTTCCACGATGATTTGTGAACTATTTTTTTTTTTTACGACTTTCCCTTAACCCATGAACGATTAAGAAGATTTCACATCGAACATTGAAAAGTGAGAAGACAGTTTTCCTCTTTCAACTTTTCTCACAGGTCTGCGGATGGCAAAAGTAAAGGCACGCCCATTCGACCAGATTGGAAACCAGTCGGAAAAGAGTGAAATGCATTTTCTATATAAGTCGTCGACTGGTCTAGAATCCACAAGCGTGTCGAATTGCTCTTTTAGTATACATACCGTTACACCCGAGACACTTCTGCTGTATAGATAATGTATGGATACACTAGGAAAAGGTTAAACTGGGTCAAGTGCACGAGGGATATGTGCATTTATGGAGCACGCACTGAAATCATGTCCATGCTCATACGGGGCGTCCTTATGTGTCCAAGAGAAATTTTTGACAACCAAGAGAAATCCTTACTGTAATGATATGCGTCAAGGCGAGATCAAGATGTGTTTATTTAATTCATTGACTTCCTATGTATGTCCAAAAATTCAAAAAGTGAATGCAAATTTGAACTATTCAGAAAAATAATAATTAACCATTTTACGAGCTGTACAGATTATTCAATTACTCTGGATGCAATTGAAGTTGGAAATAGTACATTATGATACAAGTACGGAAAGTTGATGATTCCACGAGTTCACAGTATATGCACCATAAAGAAGCACGTAATGGTCGACTCTTGATGACTTCATGAACACATCAAGAATGGACCATTTTGTGCTTGTTTTTTGGTGCACAAACTGTATACTTTCCGTATAGCGTTGCAAAAAATAATTTTATAGTGCAATCTGAGTAACGTTGCTAGGTAGCACTTGAAATAAGTGCATTTGTTTTATCATGATATAGTTGGAAACAGGTCGCGATGTTATTCTTTCACCCATCAAGGAATGGTCACCGGTTGTTGGACTTTCCCAAATAAAATAAAGATTTAGAAAGGAGATTGCCCGTCCTATCCAAACGACGATGACTTTAGAGTAAAAGTGATCCGGTTTTTGTTCGAGGAATCTTTTATGATTATTTTTCTCCCGATAACTTTCACGCGGTAGCGTCATCGTTCAAATTTATACTTCAGTCAACCAACATTGGAGTTTTCAGTGATAACAGTCATTTAGTATAACCCTTCATGTATTTCCCGGATAACGCCCAGTTTATAATCCGATTTATATGGTAGCCTAATTATCCTATCGTATAAAACATTCCGATTGAAGGTGAAACTGATCTCGATGTCGTCCGTTCGGATCCTCAATTAAATGAATTAGTAATTTAAAAGAGAGAGAGAGAGAGTATTTCTTTTCATAAGTATGAGAAAGCGCTGTCGAATAAATAGTTATAATATCGTACGTAGGTGCAAACTCATTTTTATATCCATCGATGACCGAATAATTTTCCACGAACGAGAATCGTATTTCTTTCCAACCGTTGTTGGTAATAAAAATCATCGAAGATCAATTGGTGATATTGATAACGAAAGTAGTGTATAACCGTAAATGTAGCAAAACAGTTTTTATTATAAAACAGTATAAAACAACTATATATAACAATAATAATCACATGTCAGTATTGTACAGCGGGTCAAATATTTAGCCATAATCAACGTCATAAATAAGCATCAACAATAAAATCATAACAAGTAACTATAAATATTAGTTTGTGGAGTCTCAGCTTTTCCAACTACACCATCCTTACCGAAGGAACCTCTAATGGAAAGATTCCTCATATTAGTTCTTTCGTTTTTGATAATTTTTTTCTTTAGATATACTTTCAAATTATCTTGTCATGGTTCCGTTTTTACTTTGTCTTCGTCTCGTAGTAGACTGACCTGGGAACTTTCCATCAGCTATATTTTCCGATATAGATTCCATTTTGTATTACCTCCTTTTAATACTTTCCATCAACACTGGAGTACGAAATGGTGTCGTATTTGGTATTCGATGCTGCATTGCTCTCTTGAGACTTTCCAGCAGTATAGGCAACGTATCTAGGAGATATATTGGAATAGGATCCATGGGACTCAGAAGGAGCAGCATAGGATGAGGAAGGACTGGAGTAGGATGCTGCATGACTGGCCGAAGGGGATGAGTAGCTGGAGCTGGGGCTGGGGTAGCTGAGACTGGGACTGGAATAGCTTGAACTTGGGCTAGAATAATCAGAGCTTCCACCAGAGGAGTAGGAGCTACTGCTATCATCAGATGATGGTGGATAAGACGAGTAAGAATTGGAATCAGATCCTGAATAAGAACCGGAAGAAAGTGGGACACTATAGCTGGCGGTATCTGATGAACCACCAGAATGTGAATTATAAGAGCTAGATGAAGAGGGAAGAGAGTAGGAACCAGAAGAAGCGGGGAGAGAATAAGAACTTGAGGATGACCCTGAAGACAAACTGGAGAGTCCATGAGATGAGCCCGAGGAAATGGGGAGACTGTAGCTCGATCCATGAGAGGAAGAAGACAAGGCACTTAGAGCGGAAGAGAGACCGTGAGAAGATCCTGAAGAAACAGGGAGACTGTAGCCAGAAGAACTTCCATGCGATGCTGGCGCCACAAGCAGGCCACCGGAAACGGAATGGGAGGACCCTGAAGATACGGGTAGACTGTAACCCGAAGCGACACCGGAAGACAGAGATCCTAGAGAAATTCCATGAGATCCTGATGATGGTAGGCTGTAGGATCCTTGGGAGGCTTTCAGGACTACAGGAACGCTGTATCTGCCGGATCCGCCGCTGCCGTAGGCGGACAAACCGTGCATCCCGGTTGCGTAAGCTGGTAGCATATAGCTAGATCCGGAACCACCTGCCGAAATTCCACCACCGTGGATTCCGAAGGTTACAGGTCCCGTCTTTGATCCTGAGGAGGCTAAGATGCTGCTTCCTCCGTATCCACCTCCAAGACTCAGGCCAGATACGCTGGGCAAAGAATAGGATGTTTGACCTCCATGACCACCCAGAGAGAGACTTCCAAGATTCAGTGCATGACCTAAACCAGAGGATAGGCCCGGTCCAGAAGGGGGTAGTAAGTATCCTCCGCCATGTCCTCCTAGACTAAGAGAATTGCCGAATCCTGCAAGGCTCTTAAGTCCACCTTGTCCCAGAGAGAGACCTCCAGAGTATCCGCCAAATCCATGTCCCACAGACAGACCTCCTGATGATCCTCCAAAACTGTGTCCAAGGGACAGGGGGCTAATTGATCCAGATGATCCTCCATATCCATGACCGAATGACAAACCACCCGATGATCCGCCTAAGGAGTAACTGCTACTTGGTACATAATCTTGAAGAGGCGCAGAGTATCCCGAACCTCCAGATGAGTAACCACCAAAGGAAAAGTCGGAGATCCCACGTTTATCCTTAGTTGACATTTTGGCATCTGCTTTCGTCTTTGGAATTTCCTCCTTGCAGGAAATACTTGAGAAAACAAGAGCAAGAAGCCCCAGCACGATCTACAACAAACATTATTAATAGTTTCACAAAGTATTTCAGACAAGCAACCGATTTTTAATTAAATGACACTAACAGCTCCTAAATATGAATACTGTTTTTTAAATTAAAGCAGACTAATCAAATTAATCTATCAAAATAATTGAAATCGAAACTAATTTATCCTAATCTTTTGAACCCCTAGTTAACTGAAAGAATAACTGACGAACTGTCTTTAAAAATTGTTATCGTTTCAAAATAAGACCTTGATACTGTTTCCAATGAAAATAATTTCCAATCCAAACTAGCCGAAAATAAAAGACTTACGAGTGGCCGCATGTTGATTAAACTTGGGGTGTGTTTGCGAATGTTTCTTGTGGTAAAAGCGACCACCGAGTGGGTGAGTGAAATGTAATTTCTGATGGTATTGCTAACCAGAAGAGATCTTTTATATCTGGATCCCCTCTTGGGCGGCGAAAGAAAGGTCTAGGTGAAGGTAAGCCCACTCTGATGCTGCGTATACTCTAGACACCTGAAACTCATGACTTCTTTCTGACCAATATAAAAGATACAATTGCATACTGCAGATTAAAGAACCGCGGTAAAAGTGATTCGTCAATTCGTGTCATCGATTCTCTACAATAACTTCCTAAACTGGGCGTGTACAATTAATAGATCAAATTCTTGCACGTGTAACAGAAAACTTCTTTCTTCTAAAGAAACAGATTACTGTATCGTATATTCGATTCATAATAATAAAATATTAATAAATAATGTATAGATAAAACGTATTTCAAGAAGTGAATGCTGATTCGTATTGTTATATAAATACGATCAGAATATATTTTCGTTGCATTCCAAATCAATTTTAAAATGCATACTGACTAAATTGTTATAGATATAGTCATTTCATATTATGCGAATACATTTTCAATTTCCGCCTCCTATTACTACTATATGAAAACTGATGCGTCGCGTGGATTATAATGCATCTAATTAACACAGCGGTGACAGAGTGCGTTTAACATTCTGTGACACACGAGAACGTAGTAGATAATAACACCTAATTAAAAGAGTCTTTCGCATAGAGAAAAATTGTTTTCTCATTGTTGATATTGTTGTCGTGAAACATCTGTATTGTGAACGGTATTGTTTAGAAAGTACAGTCGCATGAAGGCTCATTAATTATGGATATTCAAAACATAAGTATTCAAGATGGTTGTCTATTGAGGTTCATATGTACATCTTGCTGAGTGACAAAATATCATCCAACTCATACATAATATATGGGATTATTATCTGGTAAAATCTAATAACATATCTGAATAAAGAGAACGCTCATTCTTTTTTAGTAAAAAGTGTGTATCTATACTTTTCTGTGAAATATGATAAAAATTATTTGACCGTAATAAAATGTTAATTAACTATTTTTAATGACGTCCAATATGAATTGACCACGGAGAATTCACAAAAAGGTTTTCTTAATTTTCTTTTATTAGGGACCGCCGAAACGTTTCTAAATGGCGTATAAAAAATATGTTTCACATTATTCCGTAGTAAGTTGGAAAAGATCAAAGAAATGTTGTCTATTGTTCTAATTCAAAACAAAGTGTGAAGTGATTGTTCCAATAAGGCATTTTGCCAGCGTATAATTTGAAGTAGTCGAGATTCCCATTGATTTTGTCTTACTTTCACTCGTGGGATAACGGATATCGACATCTTCACTGCGTGAATTCCAATCTCAGTAGACGCCGTGATAAAAAAAAATTAAATTAAAATAGAGCCAAAATTAATGACTAAAAAATAAAAAATCGTGCTGATCGATAAAATATATTTGATCTACTGAATTTTACATACATTGACCTACCAAAGAATATATCAGTCCGTTCTTCAACAGACAACATTCTCTCATTTGAAAAAAAAATTCAAAAGAATCGGTACTCACGCGCCAAGTACAGAGTAACAGACTATCAGGATATACTTGCATTTGTATTATACAAACGATCCTTTCACTTAAGAGGAGTACAATGTTCATTCGCATTGAGTAGAATCTGGGAAAACAAAAAGGACCTACAAAGGTATGATCGTATATCCTAGGTGAATACGAAAATATGAAAAGTGAAACTTTTCCACCAGTTTGCATTCGCCTAAGATACACGATCATACGATTAAAGAAACACGTATTACAAAAATTCATAAAGCAATATTCAAAAAGTGAAAGAAAAAAATAAATACTATTACACGCGTAGAAATAAAGGTGTAGGACATGTAGGTGACAATCTCTTAACCCTTAGCTACACAGGTTTCGAAATTTAGAAACATACTTTACAGGGTGAGATCTGTTAAACCTCAATCTATGGAACTCAGTCGCAAGGCTATTACGATAAATAGAATAGGTCGAAAGTAAAGTTTCACATTGCTCTCTTCATAATTTAAATGAATTTATTGACAGGATATCAAATAATAATTCTGAAATAAATTTTTCTTGTTTAATAAAACTTTACGTAGAAACATATTCGAGGTCTAAAAATCTAATTAATGAGGTCTGTGAGAGTACATATGTCATTATGCGTTAAAGATGCTATGCCTTATCTGACCATGTAAATTAAAAACCTTGCAAAGTAGATAAAAAACTAATGCAAAGTATCCAGCGAGAGAGAGAGAGAGAGAGAGAGAGAGAGAGAGAGAGAGAGAGAGAGAGAGAGAGAGAGATAACAAGTTTGCACCAAGGAGTGATGACCATTCGAACGGAAGATTTCACAGAAGAGACCTAAAAGGCACTTGGGAAGAAATCCCGACCGGGCGGGTCCGGTATAAACGGTAAAAGTGTAATGGCGACGTAAAACGAAAAGCGAGACGATATGGGTCACCCACGGAAAGTGAATGGCCAAGAAACACTCGATCTCCTCCACAACAAGCATTGCGAAAGATTCTCTTGGACTTGACAGTGAGAACATGCAATGACTAAATTTGTGATTTTGAACATAATTATAAGATTCTGGATGCATATCTATAAAGCATAGTCATCCCCTGTAATATAATTATCTGCCTGCGGTAACGTTATGCAATCGTAGAAAAGATAATGGCGATGCTCATTCTGCTGCTGTAAAGATCGAATCTGGAGAAGGTTATTTACCTGCTCGTGAAGGTTCCAGAAAAAGTGTAATCTCTATATTATGCTTTGGATAGAGAGTTCGAATTTCTAATTAAAAATTCCTTCTTTTCTCTCACGCGATACAGGTGGTTACTTATGATTAAAAACACGTGAGATAGATTTCTGAGGATCAACCTTAAACTAAATTGTATACCTGCAGCGTACACGGAACATACGTATGTGCAATTCAAATAAAAGCTGCGCTCACGCGTACTTAAATATTATTTATCGAACAACTTTCCATACTGAATTCGCTTACCGTATTAAATCTTGGGACCAAATTAACAAATCTGGATATCTTACGTTATTCGGAGAGAGTTCCTTATTAATAGAGAAGTAACGCTCATGGTATAGGTCCTATATGTTTCTTTTCCTCTGATATACGTATGTCTGTACACAACTTTCCAGCCGAACGATACGAAGCCTCAGGAACGTGAATAATTTTAGCGTATTAATGCACAGTGACATCCTAGATTCAATTATAAGCAGTAGCTACGCTTTATGACCCATAAAAACTTGTCTGGTCTTTTAATGACCTCGGTTATCACGAGGTACGCCCAGTTTATTAAAGATAAAATGGGAAACATAATAGGAAAACGTACGTTTATTTAAAAAAAATAATAACAATAAATACAAGCTATGTATTTACAACCCCTCAACACTGAGAGGAATGTGCATTGAGAGTTAGAAAAAGAAAACTATACCAAATACAGTCAATTCCATTCAATTAAAAAAAGTAGTAACGATTTCCACCCAAGGAACTATATCATATTGCTATATCTTTTTCATTTCCAAATTTGAGCAGGCTTGGGTTGAGTAAAGGAAGGAGCGTAACTCCACGGATACGTCGGTAAGGAGGGTTTCTGCAACTGGTATGCCAAATTAGGATAGTAAAATACAGGATAGACCGCCTTAACTGGTTTGTAAATAAGAGGATTGTAAACAGTCGATTGAATTCCATAAGTTGGGTGCGCACTAGCTGCGACAGAATTCACAGGATGAGCAGGATTTGCGATAGGATGAGTAGGAGCAGGAATAGGATGAACAGGAGGAGCAATTTGATGTATAGGTGTAGAAATTGCATGTACTGGAGAAGTAACTGGGTGCAGTGGCTGAATAGGAATAGATATTGGATGAACAGGAGTTCCTGAAATACTGACAGGATGAACAGGATGAACTGTTTGAACATGAGAAGCTGGTAAAGCTGGAGAAACTGAAACAGGTGGAGAAGACATAGGTGGTTTGTGATCAGATTCACTGGGAATAGGAAGCCCAAAGTGAGTCGGCGATGATCCTGACGTTTGTACGGCTGTGGATACTGAACTGGGACCTACGAAGCTAGTGCCATAGCTGGGAACGTTCGCAATAAAATTAGTTCCTCCTATGAGAGTAGGCACGAATCCACCATATTGCGGAAAGCCTGGAGATCCTGGTGCTGGCAATGATGTACCCACTTGAGAACTGCCGTCGCTGCTTGTACCCGGAGGAGGCTGAATGGGAGCCAATGTGGACGTAGTTGTAGTCGTTGAAGTGGTGGTAGTGGGTGCCTGTGTTGTTGTCGAAAGTCCATATCCTAGTGTGAAGCTGGATGGACTAGTATTTCCTGGCAGAAAGGGAGTTTGTCCAAAAGCGGTATTTCCGGTGCCAAAAGGCAGAGTAATGGCGGAACCACTGTTTTGATTATTCTGCTCGTTAAACTTGGATGGCTCACTAGTTTGTCCAAATTGAGAACCGAGAGAGGCTAATAAATTTTGATTTTGAACGTAATTTCCATGATTGCGTGCATACTGATCAGAATATTGGCTACTCTGAGACTGACTTTGACTTATTAGAGCTTGCTGCAATTGAGCTATCAATCGGTCCTTTTCCAAAGATTGAATCTGCTCCAGAGATTCCTGATTACTTAATGTACCTGATGCGTAAGAAGGTAAAGGAGGTCTCTGATATTGTGAAGATGATCCATCATTTCCAAAAGTCTCGAATTGATTGTTTTGATTCTGAAGTTGATTATTCTGTCCGGTAAATTCATCACGACTAGGAGCGAAACTTTCATCAGCATCAGGTGCACCATACAGTTGGGAAATAGCTTGAGCATTTTGAGCCAGGAAGAGGGCTGCATCTGAAATCGACTGATCCTGTCCTTGACCTTGAACTTGAATGAAGTTTTGATTCTGTATATTCAAGCCTTGATCATGACTTTGAGAATTCTGAAAAAATTGCTGCTGCTGCTGTTGTTGTTGTTGCTGTTGCTGTTGCTGTTGCTGTTGCTGCTGCTGCTGCTGCTGTGATTGCTGATGTGAAGCAAAAGTATCAGGTGACGTATATGCAGGTAACTTTTGATTTTTCGGTGGCAAATAATTGGCTGTATTCGAACTGAATGGTTCATTGTTTTGACTGGCTATTGGACTTGGCTGTACAAAATCAAGATGTCTAATCGGACTGGGCACTTCCTGGTTCCACAGTCCACTACTTTGTTGATTAAATCTATTAGACAATTGATTGTGAAGTTGTTGCAGCTGCTGCTGTTGGTGATTATCCCGATGCTGTTGCTGACTAGAGAAATGCTGACCATGTCCATTGTATTGTTGGTTCGGCCTCGTCAGCTGTGAACTTTGGCTCGGTGGACCGTATCTATTGAAAGGACGGTTTATCTGACTAGGATACCTAGTCACGATCCTTCCTCTGTATCCTGATTGACCAAATGCTGGGCGAGAGTGGTATTTGTGTCCGGACGCAAGCCTATCAGGTCTATTGTATGCGTAACCTGAATCTCGTTTTCGTTGAACTGTTGAAGGTTTTGATTCAGCATTTATATCCTCTCCGTCCAATTTCACGACTTCTAGTTTCGTAACTTCGGATTTTTTTGATTCTGCTATTTTTTCAGTTTGACCCAATGATAGAACCGCAATTAAACAAGAGATTACCTGAAACAGAAATAATATTGGTATTCACTAAAAATAATCTATACTGTAGCAGCATATACTACCTTTTCAACTGCTCGAACGGTATAATACAAGAAACTTTTCAATTTCCGATTACTTCATTCTGAGACATGTATAAATACCATGAAATTACACAGTTTGAGCAATATTATTTAAAAACTTAAAACAAGGAACAAATCGACATTTATAAAAATAGTTCAAGTGGGTCTTATTGTTCATGTCAATGCAATAGATTATTTAGTAAGAAAACTGACTGGCTGTTCTTATTCTTTGTATTGTATAATGCTTTTATACTTACCAAAATCAACCTCATGTTTTTGCTTTATCCAATTACACAGGCACTTGACACAGCACTATATAATCTCTATTGAAAGTTCTCGTTTCTGTTCTTAATTTTCTGCATTTAATTATAACAATCTCCAACGTGAAAAACTAATTTCCTCAAGGATGAACGGACCTAAGTCGACTAAGAACACGGCCATACCTGCACATGTATAAGTACAGTCGGGCCGCGACCATCCACGAATTACAATAGACTTTCTTACCGGCTTTCATCGATTAAACTTAAGCAATACTGTTACGGATTCGTGATGTTACACATATCGATACATATATTTATTGTCTCAGAGTGCTTAGATTGTAAGTCCCATTTTCTAATAGTACAGCCAAACTCATGAACGTTCCATTATAACCGTGGGAACACAGGGACCGAAAATTTAATATCTTAAAAACCAAATATAAAATTAAAAGAGTACAATGATCTCTAGATGTTATTGAATTCACAGACTACAGTTAACATAACGAGGAAATTAGTTAATTAGGATTGAGAACAAAAAATTGTCCAGTTAATTTAAATCACAAATTCTTTCCATTCTCAATATTTTAGCTTCACAGTCAAAACTCTGGTCCAAAGTAATTCCTTACAAAGTAAAAAAAATAAGACATTTTCGCATGTTGCCCCACATTAATTACTACTTAGAATCACAGCATTGTTCTATTGTCATTTTTCTATTCCGAATGTATGAATCATCCTAAAAATATAATTATAGTGTAAAACTTTCGATCTATTGGTTAGGGCGGGAAGGGAGGGAGTATTTGATTTGCGTTCGTCACTCATGATCAACGGCCCAAATGACGACCCATGATTCCCGTCACGCACGTCTTCTGCGTCCCAGTGAAAGTCTTTAAAGACTCATGTCTCAAGGCATACAAAGCGAGCATTGATTTATAGGGAAATATTCGTATTGTGTAATGCATCGTATTGCCGTGTAAGCACGATTACGCATGAATTAGGAATATATCGAGTGCTCTACTATAATCAAACTCCTTGAACATTCAACCACTTCGTACCATGTGGGATCATTTTATAGTCGTGGGAGCACCAATTAAATTTCTATGTCACACCACGTATATTCGTGAAACGCTTACAGTTTATTGATTCAGTGACAACTTGACGCATCGTAATACTAACTTTCCAACTTCGAATATGAGAATCGACATTCATTAGGCATTTGAAAAGATTCGAGATTCTAGAACCGAATCTTGAAATTGACATTTTACCAATACGAGTATATTGTAGCTCTTGAGACTCTACGAATTTTTTAAGGGAAATAAGTGCAATACATAATAGAACGAGAATATTATTCGACTTAACTACAAGTATTATTATGGCAAACTGTTCCTGATCGCGACTCAATAGTGAAATTAGTTATTTTAACGAGGATAAGGAGAACAACACGGTGAAAAGTGATCTTATAAATCATTAAGTGGATGTAATATTTTATATGGTGTTTCCGATTTTAGTGCTTGTAACTTGGAGCCTCGCAAAATGACATCATTCGTCTTCCGGTTCTCGACTGCTCGTGAAGAGAATTTTATTTGCAGGATATTGCTATACGTCACGCTCTTCCTCTACAGGTAACTCTACGTCTACTTTATGGATGGACGTTCAAAATAAATGCGTACAATATTCATTTTCATAAGATATATATTGTTAATTGGTATTCCATTTCATTAAATCCAATTTATGCTACATACCAAAATCTAGTCTGATAAAATATGCCAATTATTAACTGCGACTTGGAACGCTTTCATTTCTGATTATTGAATTCTTCTTTTGTGAAGGAACTTGTATACGTAATTACAAGCAAACAAAGGAACGTCGTTAAATGCTATTTATTCATATTCATCAATAACTATATGTATACTTGATGTGTGTTACTGGTAATGATGGAGATAATAATTATCAAACAGAAACGGAGTTACTTCATTATACAATCGTTTATCCACTTCCCATCAATTTAAATTATTCGCGATCAAAGATCCTTTGAATGTTCCAATATCCACAATTTGGATAAACAATACATGTTTCGAATAATTTGTTTAACAAGATTAAATCAGTGGGGTTGTTCAACAAAATTAAACGATTGAGTTGGATAAATTATATTGAGCATTTGTGTATATTTAACAGTAATTTACGAAATGTGCAAGTGGCGTAAATCTATAGTGAAATTTCGCAAATCTCATCGATTAACAAATTATGTAGTCGGTTTATGTCATGTTTATACACTGACTCTGTTTCTGCATGTTATCGATATAATAAATTTATAGAAGTATTATCAGAACATGAAATATATACATCTGATTGATTGAATAAGATTGGAAAGATGGCCTGCAGCCAAATTTAACCAACGTAAGGGCTGCTGTAGGCTGTGTAATAGGGGTAGGCACTGTAGGCAGAATATGCGTAGGGGAGGCTATAACCAGCTGAGTAGGCTACTGGTGCAGAGTAGGCGCTGTATGCGTAAGGTGCAGTGTATGCAGCTCCCAAGACAAATCCTCTCTTGTCTCTGACGACATTTTCAACTGGAGACTTTGCCTCAACCTTCGTGGGTTCGATGGATTCGACGTCTTGAGCTTTGTCGGCCAAAGAAACGGCAGCGAAAGCCACAAGGAGAATAGCCTGAATACAAGAAAAAAAATTAACAATTTAAGTACAGATTTACATTAAAAAATTAATATGAACTGGAGACAGTTTTCAAAATTTTAATGAATATGAAACTGAACAGCGATATCACTTGAACACTACGAACTTCCTTAATAGAAACATGAGTTGAATATCACAGTTATATAGTACTTATGCACGATCTATTTTGTCTTTGACTTAAGATCTTTGGCCTTAGTCTTTCATTTTTTTGGTAATGTTCAACAAGATATCTGAAACAGAACAACTTAACATATTTTGAATCGTAGGAATAGAATAATATGTCTGTATGATTAATTAAACAAATAATGAAAATCCTAATTGGTTATAGATCAAATTCAAAATACTCACGACGAAGCACTTCATTTTGAGTGTATTGGATTTTTTGATCAGCTCTTGGAATACTTGAAGACTGAATGATGCTCCTGGATTTTCAGGGGCTCGTTTATATACCCCACGATTCGATGATCTTTAAGGCGTCATACCCTGATTGATCAATTCAAGAGGACGTGTCCCCTACGCATGTATAATATATGTTGGTTCATTTATAGAATGTTGCATACGTCTGTCCTATACTCAAGATACCTTCTATTGTTTACGTAGTCCTGCGTAATACCCCATGCGTGGTGCCTACTCCAAGGTGTATTAGAGGCGTGCACGTACGTTGAAGCAAGGCAAGTCTCGTCCAACCGATTCAAGTGAAGCAAGGGACCTTGGCAATCAGCCAAATACGGATGAAAGTATTTTAAAATAACAACGTAACATAACAACGTGATGTCGAGGTCTTCGTTGCAACGAGTTCTCTGAACTTTACAGCCATCCTTAGTTTGCATTTGAACGACGTGAAAATTGTGCTGAAAAACAGTCAGTTATAACATTAATGCCAATATAAAGATCACAGAATACAATTAATGTTCTTATGACGTTTTCGTAAATACTATTGAATTTTAAAAAGGCCCTTACTTTCAGGTTGCAACACAGTTGGTGTGGAAAGAACTTTTTAGACCTTAAGAATACGTGGAATACCTAATAAAGCTTACCAGGGAGGGACGTCCTTACAAAGTACCTTTAAAGTTACTTGTCGCAATATGTATTTGGAGTCACAAAATTAAAAGGATTCTGAAGCGAGAATTTATAGTTTGAATAAATGAATAATTACATAAAGTTTGGATATTATTATATATGTACTATGGTAATATTCACTTATTAATTTTCCCTAGTTACCAAAGTCATTATAGCCTTCATAACAATAGCTGAATGGTCTACATAGGAAAACTGTGTAATCACAATTTCGACTAAAGTATATATCTACGTAAAGTGAAATATTCTAATGTCACGTAAAATATTTATTACCAATGATTTTTGAAAATAATTTCCATTACAATATTTGAGTAGTGGAAGTTGTATATTGGATTCGGACAAAATGCAGGCAGATTAGCATTCATCGCATATCTGTTTGACCAACGTAAAACCCAGTATTATTTGTTTTTATTTATTCACATGCCTTAGACTATTGTTTTATTTTTCTCTAAGCGTTCGTAGGGCGTGTCTTGCTCATTCGAAATTTAAATTGCGGAAAACCCTGGTCATTGGTTAGGCGTCTTATGACGCAAGCGCAGTACAGCATAACCAACATAACCAACTCTATCGTCAATATTCCTAGGAAGACATTTCGAGTTGCGCGACTGTTTATTTTAGTTGTCAATACGAGTTAGAGGTTACTTCGATACAGGATGGTTTCATCTGCAAAACTACGCTTTCCCGTGGTTTTCGGTTCCATGCTTATTGGTGTCTATGTGACATTTACTAACAGGTATATTTTTTATTTGTATTTCATTCCAATTGTGATTACTCTCGCTGAAATAAATAATTTACTATTACGATATTTCTTGCTTAGGAATTTTGTGTATATCACTCTTTAGTCGTATGATATTTTTTAATATTATTTTTGCGTACAAAATTATGTATTAAAATCGTTTCATATACGAATTTTTCATTATTTTATGAACTATAACTCTTAATGCTTCGAAAATGTTAATTTTTTGGTGACATCATTAGTGTTCCAGATACACTATTCATACGCAGCCGGCTATATTATTTTTACAATTTAATATTTAAGTGGAATTGTTTATGTCAAAGAACAACAGTTTAATTTGCATATTTACCTTTTATGATCGCTTTTGGAGAAACAACCTTTGCTGCAACTATAACGCCTGCACGGGCTCTGCTCCATGTAGTATATGTAAACAGTGAAATGAATTATTGCATGTATACACTAAGAAGCCTGAAAACTAACTTTATAGATACGAAACTTGAAAATCGTGAATTAATCAAATTTCATAGAAAAGTTTTACGCAAATGCCTACGGCATTTATCCACCAAGCTAACAATTCTTCGTATTGTAATTTCATAACGTATAAATCATCGAAAAAGGAATACGTAACCCATTCAATTCCAACTCAGAACGTCTATTCGTTGTCAAACTTATAGAACGGAATACTCTGAATACTTCTTCATTTTCCGGTTATTTCTTATAAAACTACTGTGAAGAATTATTAGATTGGTGGGAAAATGCATCTGGTGCGCTTGACTTCAACTTTTCTATAAAATTCATGGTTTGAAATAATTCATGACTTATACGCTATTTCGTTCAATTTGGTTTCTAAGCCGCTTATCGCATATTAAAATTAGTATATAACCAAAGTAATAAAGTAAATACGAACTGTATTCTAATATAAAAGTTTTTAAATTTAATAATTGAATAAGGACATGGTAAAATACAGCAAAAATTGTATAAATCAAGTTTACGGTTTGTTACAGACACTTTTTTTTACAAAACATAGAAGCAGAACGCGCTGCGTTATATCCGGATAATCCCGAAGCGCGAAGGCTTCTAGATGAAGTCAAAGAAGAAGCCAAGCTAGCAAGAAATAAATAATAATTAATATTAAAGCTTCACTTCAAATTTAGTAATTTTTATCATCTGTTCATTTTCGCCTATAAATATGCACTGAATAAACAAAATTCTGATAGCTATTGGAAGTTTCAATAGAGTTTTGAAAGACACCATATGAAATACATTGAAACGATTAAAAATATTTTTGAAACGTATAATAAAATTTCGTTAATATCTTCACTAGTAACTACATACTGATATTGATTAATCAAATGTAAACAGTACATAAGAAATATATTTTTCTCAATTTAAAGTAATGGTTATCTCCAAAAGCAGTACTATGGGCAAACAAGAAAGTTAACAAGTTTTCATTTTTTGTACAGCTGCAAAAGATGGAACTACCAAGCGAAAATTTCTTAGACATTTTTATTATGAAAAGCTATAAAATGATAAATGGACAATAAAATAACCTTCACGTAACCTACTATATTCAAACTGTCTATACCTTCAACCGAATATACTTTGTTGATCGTGCATCACGAATGCTAATTATTCGTCCCTGGGCAGAATTGTCAAGTAATTGATAGCGGAATAAATTTCTTATTTCGAGGCTAACCAATCTAATGCATTTGACATCATGAAATTTCCCCAAAACCATGGAATTTACATTGAGCGGATACATAACGTATTACATCACAATAAAATTTGCCTTTCATACAACAGAAAATGTATAATTCAGCATTGACCTAATTGAGCTCTTATTGACTTCCCATTTTGCATTAGAATTCAGAGCGCATGTATCTCATTCGAAAGACATTGCGCAATCAGTCGAAACTTGAATTCCCGTTCGATTAAAATTCCAAAAGAGATGTGGAAGCATGCGCTTCCTTTATACAAGAAGCCGTACAGTATATTGTACCGTATTCTTTATTTACAAAAAAATGTGTTGCTAAAATTGAATCGATACAGGATAGTAATGAAGCAATTAAGTGATTATATAACAGAATTATTCCCACAAACGAACACATGGAGTCCAAAATTAAAATTGGTGAGAAAGCATTGCACACTGACTATGTGAACTTTATTGGGTTAATTAATAATCGCAATGCAATTTTTTTCCAATGGAACGCTTTCCAATTCCTTTTTGAGTATTGACATGACAATTGAAAACTTTTGTTTCGCGCAACGCACAACACGTGCTCGCATTCATGAAATGTGCATGACATACGGGAATATTAATTCCGTATCGATCTTTATTCGACAATTTTCAAATCATCATAAACCAATAACAATCTACGAGAAGTACGTGAAATTATTCTCGAGAACCTGTATTTTGATTCTTCTCTTCCTAGATCGTAAGTTGACAAAAAACTGCTATTTCGTTGCTCAAACTATTCTGTAAGAGTTTTTAAATCTTTCTTGATTAACTATAGAAATATTAGCTGTATCATAAATTTGCAGACTGAAATCAAGTGATAAATGTACGGTTTTTTCTTTCATGGTTAGGACCATGTCAATTAAATAAATTTGCCCACACATTCTACCATGTTAATCACGATCCTTTTATTACGAAAGAAATAACTTACTTATTATGAAAGAAATTCAATAGAAAACATATCTATTATTATTAGCTAGTACGCCGAATGGATATTGCACTTTCTAAAGATTCTCTTAAAATAACGAACTTCTTTTTCTCTTATATTTATTAAATTAGCGAGCACGCCCATGTCTTTAAAAAAATGCATCCTAAGACAGGAAGGCAGTATCAGTTTGTATATTTGCAATCCTCGAGAACTTGCTTCTGCTCCAATGGAATCTTGCTGTTATGATGCCGAGATGGATTATCACTATTGCTGTCCAGTCAACGAATTACGACATATGTATATTTTGAAATTACATTCTGATAAAAAGAAACTGAAGTACTTTCAAATTGGTTAATATTAAATTTCATTAGGTCCCACACGACTAGAGTCACGGGCAGTATAACGGCAGCTGTGATATTGCTTATATGCATAGCACTATTTTGCATATTCTCTTCGAGATGTCCCTTGAGAAAAGTGTTTTTGAATCGACGTTCACGAGGCGCTGGTAAATTTCTATATATTTTTTTCTTACACGACAAATTTTACGTACTCCTTGTTTGATTATTAATTTATTGACTTACTGTCACGTGCACCTTAAAACAAATAATTTGTATTTCTGATATTTTTTTTGTAGATAATATCTTCTGCTCAAATCATGACTTTTGCTATTGATATATTATTATAAGAACTTGATATATTACTTTCTATCTTGAATTTATGTAGCAGAACGAATGAGAGCTGCAGAAGAAACACCTGGAGACTAGAATAAATAACAAGATGACGCTAGTAATCAGTTTATAATTTATAGGTAACAGCGGGTGGAAAGAGAATATGCTATGAATGTAAAGTAAAAAGTTATTGACCATTTATTAACCTTCTTAAATACAAGACCAATTATTAGGTAGAGAAACTTTATGCTCTTCATTAGTTTGGAATGCCAATTCTGTAAACAAAAAAAAATGAATTTACTTAGGTTGCTTTCATTATAAAAGTTTACGAGAATGAGAAACGTGTAATTCAGATAGAGCTAATTTCTTAATCATTCATGAAAGATTCAGTTCATAATTTCATCAGACGTATTATTGATTTGTATGTAATAAATTGCAAGTAAATCGTCATCAATGAACAGCACAAAAATAACAAATAAAAATAATATGTACTTACCATGTAAAAATTTTCATCTGCTCAGATTGGTATAAATGAGAATTCTGAAACAAATAATCACGAAAAGTGTAAATCACTTCGTTGATTTATCCTTAAAATGATGTCATTTTATAATAAGTTTCTCAGTGGTAGTGACGAGTGTATACACATCATAAATTTTTTTCAAACACAGAATTATCCATCATTGGAAGAATTGTAATATTATTTTGTTAAGTTAAAACAATACATTATTACTAATAGGTTATTAGTTACAATGGATTTACATACTTGATATGAACGTCGATTCAATTCAATCTTAATCACCACCACCAATTCCACCAATTCAACCACCTGAAATAGATTGAAAATATTTAAAAAATAGAAATAAATATAACATGCATTTAAAATTTTTTTTAGTAATTGTTAATCAGATAGGGGCGAAAGAATTCCCTGAATACATCAATGAACTTCAGTTGAACTATGAAATCATCATGTGCGTGATATTATTTAACCGATTCATATTCATATAATTAACATATTTACCTTTAATAAATGTATTTCTTGGGACAGCAGTTGAAATTGGACATCACCCTGATTGATGATAAACATGTCAGAATTCTGCAATGCATAAAAATTTGTGTATGAAACGTAACATGCAATTGCAACATATCTATCTTAATAAATTATAAGAGTAATCAGATAGGGGCGAAAGATTCCCAGTAGTGCATCAAATTAATTCAGTTGAACTATGAAATCATCATGTACTCAATACTGAATTAACAAAGTATATTATCAAATGAAAGTATATGTACCTTTGTTATATCTTTATATGGTAATGGATTATTTTGCCTTCACAACTATTGACAAAGCTTTTGGAATTCTGAAATTTTAAAAATCACATTTGTAAAATATGCTGATATCTAAGACAAATGGCATAAACTAACAATAAAACAATCAGATAGGAGCGAAAGAATTTTGAGTGCATCAAATTTGTTCAGTTGAACTATGAAAACATCACAGAGTTACAATCATTAAAGGTAAACAAAATATATTAATAAGTGAAAGTGTTTGTACTTTCAATATGCTTTTTGATGTGGTAATGGAATGCTTCCCTTTCATGACTTTCAGTCATTATTCCAAATTTCTGAAACTCTAAAAATGGCTTACAATATGCCATACTAGTTAAAATGACGGGTTATTAAAAAAAAAAAAAAAAAAAAAAAAAAAAAAAAAAAAAAAAAAAAAAAAAAAAAAAAAAAAAAAAAATCAGATAGAACCAAAAGAATCCCACTAATGCATTAGAACAAACCAGCTGAACTATGAAATCGTCATATAATTACAATTGTAATATTAAACAGCATATATACCTCCAATATGCATTTTGAGATGGTGATAGGATGACCAAACCCTCATTACTGCAGGCTGATGTTTTCAGTTTCTGTAATTTTAAAACACACACTTGTAATACATGCTATAACATTTCGCGTAAATACTTCATAACTTATGATAAAAAAGTCAGATAGGAGCGAAAGATTTTTGCATCAAAGTGAATCAGTTGAACTATGAAATCATCATACAACTCCTATGTCGTTATTAATATAATAGACAAATTTATAAATTATGGCTTACCAGGAAAAAGCTATCATGTGTTCAAGACTTTTTAAACTTAGCTTGTACAAAGATTCGAGGTACATCAATACTTTCTTTCAAGTTTACAGTTCGTCTCTCAACATACAAACATGATATTGTTTCAAATCCTGCAGACTGAAACATATTTTGTACTTCATCCACTGAGAAATAATAAGTCCTGAAACAAGATAATATATATTTCGTAGCACAATTTGTTCAAATTTTTTCTCATAATAATCATGTAATATGAAGATCAGATAGGGGCGAAAGATTCCCATTAGTACATCAATGAATTCAGTTGAACTATGAAATCATCATATCAATTAAAGAAAAATATGGTAATCATTACAGAAAACTAAAATAACACTAAATCCAAATAACAAGGTTTTAAAGATTATCTCACCTTGTCCCATCTTGACGCATATAGAAATTTTCAGCAATCTTGTGTCCTGGCTTAAACCTTAATTGTGCCATGTCATACAGCCCATAATCTCGGAACAAAACAACCCCATCAGTATGTAATACTGTATACAAATTCTTAATTACTCTGTAAAATACAATTAAGCTATATTTTTTTACAAATAACCTACAGTGAAAAACATCTGCAATCATGATTGACTACCTTTCAAATTTCTCTGGATGTATAGCTGACATTACAAAGACCAATGTTACTACATTTACAGGAATATGAATTTCAGAGAAACAATTCTCTATGGTCACATCTGTTTGAAAAGCTATTATTTTCTCAGGGTTATAAAGCTTATGACTCTGAAATGAAGCAAAAACTTGTTAGGTTAGATTAGATTATACCCAAAGCCATTATTCGTAGTACACAAAGCATGTTACTCACTTTAACAAAATCTATGGCTCGTGGAGAAAAATCACAGGCATATATCTGTTTAATTTTAAGACCATCCTCGAGCAAGGGATAAACTAAATTTCCAACGCCACATCCAACTTCTAATAGAACGCCATGCTCTTTTTCCAAATCTAAAAGTTCTTCGAATTCGCGCGTGGTCCAATGTCTATCTTTGAAGAATCTCGTGTCGTTTCGCTTATAAAATAAATCCCAATATTTCTTTGCATTTTTTTCAAGTTGCATCGCGCTAAATTCCGGAACTAAACGTGAATTTTGAGCCAACATCTTGTCGATTTCTTCTCGGGTAAGACGCTTGGCCACGTGGCCGCGATATAAATTAGTTTCTGTTTTCGATTCCTCCATCTCTCTAAACTCATTTCACTAGCACGGTAAAATTATAAAATACTAATTCCCATTTAACTTTTTGTTTAGTTAATTAAAAAATAGGAATATAATTGAAATTGTCTTATTTAGAGGATAGTAACAGATGAAAGTTCACACCACCGCTTACCCCGAAGATCAAGAAGAAAATGAACGAATAGAAATCTGAAATCCCAATAGAAGCACATTGAAGTTCCTAGTATAGTTCCCACGCCTCAACAGGTTCGCCAACCTTCAAGCAGAAGAAATCCCAACCGAATTTCAAATTCAAATAATCCTCAGTCGGTAACATAAGAACTATAGAATTAGAACAGAACTTAACATTAAGTTAGATAAAAATATATTTACAATCATAAATATTTAACACTAAGTAATTACATAATTGAACCTTTAAAAGGATAGAGAAGATTAATAAGAAATATCACATATGCAAATTATTTTTTAAGATTATTACATATTATATCAATTAACAATAAGATTATAAGTATTATAATTATTCCTCCTCTTTGCAGTGAAATGTTTTCGTTTCCATGCAAAAGTAAAATGTAAATCATTTTAATAATTTTCATTTCATTCACGATTGTAAAGAATTCAAATTCAATCAGTAAAACTCAATTAAAATGGCAGAGTCTATCACATGCCATTAGTTGGTTACAATGATATCAGTTTAAGATCCATATTGATTACGAATATGAATGTGTACAAGGGCGATCAACATTCGGGACATGTACGAAAAAATATTTTCCATTCGTATATAGCGCGAGCATATAGTGACATACTGCTTAAATGGGTTAACCGTGACTGAAATTTAATTAGTGAGATTGTAATTGACCAGCAACACATACAAACCATTTAAGCGAATCACCTCGAACATTTCATTTACTCTGCGACAAGCATTTTGTTGAACCATATCTTTCGTCATACTGTTCCAATTATATGAATAAACCAAAGTAACCAGACATATTAATTCTCCTCTGAAAAAGTTCAACAAAATTTTTTAAATTCCATAACAAGCTTTTGATTTTTTGTTAATTTGCGCTAATACCTTTTTGCTTCGGGACCAAGTTTTTACTCGCTTAAATTCTTTGTCTTTTTCAATCCTTTCAACTAATAACAATATTACAAATCTAATATCAAAAAGCAGATTGGCTGATGCGAATCAAGCTTAAGTGGATCTCACACAGAAACGCCCGGCGTTCACATCAACAAAGCGCAACCGATAGCGAAGATGGCTCGGTGTGGATTGTCGAAGTATGCTAAAAACATACCGTTCCTCGTGAGCATTCCAAGAGGGAATTCTGTAAGCCAGTTGTACGAACACGCCGAGCCGATACGCGCACTTTCAAGTTACAAAACCGTGCCGTCAAGAGGCGTCGCAACGCTCTCTGGCTCGGCAGCTCGTTTCCTCGTTGATTTTCGTGCGCACACATTCGTGTATAGACATATCTTTAAAAATTCCTTTAAAGTTTCACTCGAAACCATAGCAAACACGCGATTTGCGGTATAAGTTTTATAAAAAAAGGCGAATTATTAATTTTCAACGATACCGCAGCTTATTAGATTTCACGTAAGTAAATGATATATAAATAAAAACGCTAACTATACGTAGTTATAAATTGTTTTTCTTAAAATTTAACTAAAGTTCGTGACTAGTTTCATTCCCCAGTGTGATATCAAATTTTCATAGTATACTTAACGCGCCTAGCAAATTTAAAAGAACGAATAAATACTGTGTTAATCGAGGTAAATCAATGGAATCTACTGCGGCGTCAACCAATCTTATTGGAATTACATTATTTCGCTGCTGACACAGCGATCCATCAAATTCGTAAAAACAGATATATTTTACAAATACACCCGGCTGGTATTTGCATTCGCGAGAATGGAAACATCGTGTTTCATTCCGCACTGCGTTCAACTCGTAGATCCGTTGTGTGGTGATGTCATTAAAATTTCAATAAATTCTAAGCGAAAGTGCAAAAATTTACATTCCAGTTCGTGCCAATTCGCAAGTTCCTCGTTTGTCATTTAATTTCTATGCTCTCAATATTATTCTTTATGTTAATTGTAGACATAGCACTTTCATATATAAATGAACTTTTCCTCTTATCGGTGAATTACTCTCACAACTTTTAAACCAGCAAGTCACCAATTTAATCCACACACAATACCGAAGGCCATTATTTGTCGATGACTTCGAAGCGGAAGCGAGCAATCGATCTCATCGAAAGCGACACGGTTCAGTTGTGACAATAATCGAAACTCTCGCAAAGGGAAACATTCTCTCCCCCAAACAATATTCACTATTCGGGCAAAGATAGCGACGTTAACGAGGTCATTCCACGATAGAGCAGAATAATAAAAAAAACTGTCCATTTTTATACTTGTCTCATCTTTGTTTCATCTGGCACTTGGCTCTACAGAGCCAATAGGATCAGGAAGAAGATCTTTGTTTCATTGTACGCCTATAATGTTCTTTCAAAATTTCTATGAATACAAAATTATAAAAATATCGCACAGAAGATTTTTTTAGAAATTGTCGATGACCTTTTGACAGGAATATTTCATAAAGATACAGCATCCTTACTGGTACATCGACACCTCAATTTTCGAATCACGTAATCTTAAAAAAAAAGTACTAGCGCCTCAAGCTTTTTAGATGCGAAAATATTATACAATACAAATATATGGATATACATATGAAAGTTGACCATATATGTTACACCACGACGTGCAAGAACTATACTACGTGAAGGATCGATGGAGGAATAGCATGGAGAAAATACTAGACATGTGACGCAAAAGTGAAGCGTATAAAGTAGGAGCCGCTTATCGCACAGTAAGTCTCCTGGAAGTTACTAGGCTGACAGGGAAAAATTCAAAACAGCCATTTGGTTACAGCTAGCCGTCGCGTCATCGTATAGTTATGTAAATCTGAATTTACACACCTGAATCGGCACTATTTACCTTTTACCTTACGGTCACTTGCGGTCAGCTCATGATACCGTTGCTTCTTGGCAGGGTCTGGGTAACCTTGTGGAAACGTAACTAGTATGTATGTACATATATATATGTATATGTACAGCCCACATAAGATTCTAATACTAATGCTGTTGTTAAATGAACAAAACAGAATCCATTTAAAACGAAACAGTTCCGTTAAGGCGGCACTTATTCCCCAAGAAAAGTATTACGTAAGGAACGTCATATGGTGATTTTTTATTACTTATGGAATCGAGTAAAAACTAGCGTTCTTCGTACCTACGTTAATCAAACAGCACCGGACAATATAGTCAGCGGAAAAATGATTGTCGAATTTTAAGGCCGTTACTATATGGCACAACTTAATTCGTATGTCCTCGATTTGTCTGTACAAAATGAAAGAGAGATATTACACTCATAGATATAACGGTACTGGATGTCCTAAGTATTTGAGTTAACGCGAATAGACTTTATGTCTAGAGCGAGTAATAACTCCCACCGAGAATATCAAGAGGAATTAGTTCATCATTATTTTTTGTGATATTAATGTCAGGGACAAACCGGTATTTCTGTATGCTTGACGCATTCCATCGCCCGCAGTGAGGACACGCCTTACGGCTAGAGACGGTCTAACAATTAATGACGAAGACATTGAGTCTCGTCAGAAAACTAAAGAATGGAATTGTTGGAACGGAGAAGAACGACATCCACTAAGGCTTTCAGTCTCATTAAGTTTTATACTCGTTTGCAATAACAATTCTACAGCGCTGAAAAAGCTTCTCTTCTACCGAGCGTCCTCTTGAAAGACACTTTTTTTGACTTTTATTTTAATATTATTTCGAATCTCGAATTGAATCGAACGGAACACTTGTCCTTCAATTTGTAACTAATTTAAGTTCCCGCACGTCTACACCTGCTGGTCAATTTGGTTTCTTTCGAAGGCTGCATTCCAGAGAAAGTTGCCTACGGTCATAAAGTATAGTGCAGCTATTATGTATGGTGCGCTTGAGTCTAATGGGAATACACGTGTCTTGGTACAAACTATGTATTATGTATGTACTTGGGAACATGATGTGATGTACATATATACATATGTAGAATAGCTGTAGGTACACGCAGCATGGACTTATGGAATTATGACTTCAGTGGATGTGTTAATTTCCATAGCGTGATTCGATGCTAAATTACGAAAGTATCGCTAATTACATGGTCAGCTTCAACATCGATCCTCTATAATCTGCTATGCTAGCTTCTAGAAAATCGTAAATTTTGCATGAAATTGAATTCCTATTCTATGAGGAATTGTATACATTCGTGCGATTCGATAATGAGTAATTTTTTCATTTTAAATTAAAGCTTACATTAATAGGTTATTAAAATCGTATGTTGCAAAAATATTTAATTCTTTATACGGATATGACTAATTTAAAATTAATAAGATAAGAGGAAGAAAGCACGGGAAATTCATTGCGCCGATGACTTATACATCGGGTAATTGGTAATAAGATCGATCAGTCTGTGAGAACAGTGACTTTCGAAAGTGAAAGTTAAAAATATGTAAAAGGTGCGAACTGTCTTAAAAATGAAACGGAAACGGTCTGATAATATAACAAATATATAAATATGTATATATCTGGTAAAAAGATTTTTTTTTAAATAGTCAAATCTTGAACAAAGATCTCAAAATTCCCACAACAATTATCTCTAACAACCTTGATCATTGATATTGCAGGTTAAAAGAACACAAATATAATTACGAAAATGAAAAATTCGTCGACATATCTCAACAATAGAAATGGTCTCGAAACAGTTTCTAAGGCTCACACGAAATATTGTCGGGTGGTTCTAGAAAATTAAAAAAAAATTGCAAGCAGCGACCTTGATGTCTTGAATTCTTAAAAAAAGAGAGAGTAATGTCGCATCAATTAGGAGCAATTTCTCCCAAGAAAGAGTATACCTACTTGATTTGCTTCGGTACAAAGTAGCCATATACGTACACGAAGAAAACCGGCTCAGTTTCCAAGAGTAATAACTCTCCTGCCTCGAAGGCATCTGCCCCAAATTCAGTTACACAATTTAAAAATCGATCATGCTATCAAGGTCGTGGATTATATCAATATATGCAGGCAGCACTTTTCAGTAAATATCGAAGCGCGACTATTGAGCAGCCGCACCTCGCGAAACCAGCCTAGATATTTTAGAAAGGCAAGTGATTCCTTGTTTGTGCGCTGGCACACGCAAAAACTATAGCAACCGTTCACTTTTCACGAGAAAACGCACTCTACCTTTCCACGTATTTTCTTCCTGCCATCTTTTTCTTCGTTTCTTTTGTCCGTTTAAAAAGCAACGAGTAAATTCGTGCACGCATGCGCACTGCCGCAGTAAAAGTCACACTCTGCAACGCAAAGCTGTCATTAAGAGTTTCACAATAATTATACGCTCTTTCATGTTCACATCGTGCAAACGATCTGCTGATAATTAATAAAACACACACCTGAAGACGTTCGACTTTGTTCCCACAGTTTCTCAGAGATCCATGCACCAAGGATAACAATACCGTTGCGATGGACGCTGAAACTGGGGCCATATTGGCCCTGCAAATTCTGGCTCTGTGTTCAATCGTCGCAGCCCTCCTGGCTTACCTAATGCGACAATCTCGTAATGCCACAGAGGAATTCGAGATGCGCTGTAAGCGACACGTCCTGGTGACCAGCTGTGAAACTGGAGTGGGTCTACAGATCGCCCTGGCTCTTACCGAAGCAGGTTACAAGGTAATTGCAATTGTTGGAATTAAAAGGCTATTTCGCTCCGTCGACTGTTTAGCCGTTACCGTGTATCCTAGAATAATCATTTCCTTTGTATACTTCCCGAACGAGCATAGCAGAATGGAAAGCATATCAGGCTGGTGCATCGCATATTCATCGAATGCATTGGCCGGAGAGGGCGAGTAAAATTATTCCGTGAAATTAATTATATCAACTGTATTCGCCAGGTATTCGCCGGGTGGCGTGAACCCAATGGAAACTCAGCATCCATGAAAATACTACGAGCTCTGGAGCTTCGCAGAGAGATGGAAAAAGATCCTTCATGCCCTGCAGCCTGCGAAAAACCAGATGGACCTTCTCCGGGACCAATCGTACCAGTGGAGTTGGATCCCACACGGGAAGACAGTTTACACGCTTGTTTGGATGCAGTCAGAGCTAAGCTCCCAGCTGGAGACGATGGCAAGCTTGCTAATTCGATTTGGAATTACGTATTGATTGCGTATCCGTTCTGCACCAAATAGATAGCATTGGAAATCCGTCTTCATCCCGCATGTCATTCACGTACTCATGCACAGTCTGCATCAATGTCTCTTGTCAAACTAATCATGTTTTTAGCTGTACATTAATTATGTACAGCAGGGTATATATTTGTATACGTTGGAGTCGAACAAATTAGATGCATAATTGTAACGCGTTGGGAAATTACTAAATTAGTTGATGGTATTAGAGTTTGGCCGTCGATAGCAATCGATATTACTCTAATATTCACTTGTAAATGGAGATTTCGTATTAGATTGCAATGCGCACATGTTATATAATTATTGGCTGTGCGCGTTAAGTCACTTACTTTCCATAATGACACGTGTTACCATAATACCACATGCTTATCTGTATAAATCGTATGAAACGATAGTCATGATGGTATCTCAATGATGAATTATCCGATTGATAAAAGCACTGCAATTTCGGATTTATGATCAGACAATACATTCATCTACTTTAATTGCTTGTTTAATATATCTACTTACTAATGACACTCGACAGTACTGCTATTCGGTACATACATTTAGAACATATATGTTGACAGAGATTGATAAACGTTTAACCAGCATTTGTCATTATGTTTCTAAATATTGGTTTACTACGGACACGTAATTATACATCAAATTAGCAGTACCTGTGTCGAACGATGCTATATAATCAATGAAGAGGAACGCGGAGAAATTTTTTACGTGAAATTCATAGCATTAAAACATTCTATACAGATTTTAATTTTCAATATTGCCTTGGTGTTATGAAAGTGCAAGTATGTTTTAGGGAGACATGCAGAACAGGTCTGTTAATTATTTCATTTAATTTCAGGTCTTTGGGCTGTGATACATACTGGGGGATTGGCGTTACCTGGAGCCATTGAAAAGCAAACAAGTTCCGCGTGGGAATCAATGTTGCGACATAATCTGGTTGCTCCATTGCGTACAGCCAGAACATTCATACCACTTTTACGTGCCAAGAGAGGTACCTATTCCCATACGGCATTGTCTCGAGGTTATCGTCCTCCTAAATTCAAGAACAATACATGAGATACTATCGCATGCATACGCAATTGGACAAGGTGTCATTACTGAAGATAAAATTTGACCTTGTCGAAATAATTGTAGTATCATATATATGAGGACAATAGGGCATATGAAAACGAAAGGTCTTTGAGATTTGGTGTCTTTTTTTACGTGAGAGGTTATAGAAAAATAGCTGGTTTGGTTACTATCGATTATTTTGGGACTGGACATATTGAATAAAGGGATTAATTAATTTGATGAATTTACTGGTTAGGAATTTATTAATTAAATAGATCTTGTTTTTTATTTCATCAGGTCGTATAATTCTTTTGGGGGATGCCGAGACTAGTTATGCAACTAAAGCTGGAACGGGATTAGTCGCCTTTAGTGCTTCCCGCCGTGCAGTAGAGGGAGCCGCTGAAGCTTTAAGAAACGAATTGCTCGCTTCCGGTGTGGACGTTGTTCTTCTTAAGCCACCGCCAGTGAATCCACTTGTTCTTTATGCACCTCCTATTCTCAAGACGTAAGAATGGCCGATGATGTACTCAATGAATATTCTTTACAATTATGCTGTCGTCATTAATTAAATATGTATTTTTGCATTTTTTTACAGACCCGACATAGAAGCTGGCATAACGTCGAGCGAAGGAACATGGACAGCACCTCTACCAACCTACTCAATAAAAAATTCATTAATTCCTGCGATCACTACGCCATGTCCTTTTAATTGTTATAATATGGCGGTTAAGCCGAGGCTCTTTTGTCGATGAATATTGTGCTAAAAGGATGCTTTAAAAATTCCAAGAAGGAGACAAATCGTATTTTTTGTCTTGTCAATAACCGTTTGTAATATATGTGAGAAAACGTTCATCATACTAATTTTAATAGTAAGATAACAATTATCATAGGAACTCGCGCGAGCATAACTTTTAATGGTAACTTTAGAATTTCTTTGACATATCACTGACGATTTATGGATTAATTTATAATTAAAAATATAATTATTACTAATGTAATTGTGTACATAACCATGACCAGAATGATAAACTGGTACGTTCAATTGATTTATAAATCTTGTGGTTTTTCGCAAAATTACGACTGGAAGAATTTAACACGAGTACTTTTGAAGACGGTAAAAATACTTAAATTACTGTTTTTGTGTCTTCCTTTGTGTTATCGGTAGGTGGATATGAGAAATTTAATTAAATAAATGTACTGAAAACGAGAATAAAGAATATCTTAAAACATTATTTCGCGAGGTCTTATTCCGATAATCTTAATCGATGAAATCGTATACTGATGTACTGCGTATGTGTCAAGTGATATCCAGTGATTTCCCCCGGACATAAAATTTCCGTAAAAAGACCCCTCGTAAAAATCTGTGGGTCGTGAATAAATCCCGAAAAAGCTCGCAAATGGATTTTGATTTCACTTGAAAATTCCAGTAAGGGGAACCCCCTCGTTACTAGAGGAATGAGATGTTTACGGAGGGAGAGGAATCGTCCTTAGATTCGTAAAATCGTCCTGGAAATTGAATAAAAGACGTTTTTAGAGAGACGAATCCCACCTTAGAAAAGGTGGCAAGATGATCATTGCTACCAGAAGAATAATGAAATTAAGACACAATTCTAATCATTCTAATAATTAAAATCTATCAAATGTAGTTTATCTTCTTAAAGTCTTCGAACAATAAAATACAAATAGTAACTCAAACTGATAACATTGTATATTTTAAAATAAGAAATGAACATCCCAACTGCACAACAATTACTAGTACAAGGAATTCTGATTCAGCAAAATTGTAGTTCAGTTGCCGTTTAATAGGATGAAGTTTCAAAGAGCAATTTGTGCGGAATCACCCCCACGAATTACGTCTAAATTGATAACAATTTCTGACAACTGAGTTATTAGTACAATCAATCGTCTCTGCTCTTTGCCCGTTCTGTTGTCAGCGTTATCTATTAAAATTGATATAAAACATTATAACATTAACATGTATCGTCGAGTAACTCAAATAGTATATTGTGCATCGAGGGCATAAAGGAGATCATTTTGACGAGTGTGAAATCACACGAGTCAACATACATATATCCTTTTCCCGTTGATGCACATGATATATTTTGATCGGCTTCATTTGAAAACGCGACGTCCAGGTTAGTCCCGATAAAAAAAGTTTACTTCGCGAATTTCGGAGTAAAAAGAATTTTTAAGCCCGCTATAGCAGGAGGAAATTACCGGACTGCAATTAGCCATTTTACTCTGGCTAGAGAGGCACGAAAAGGAGCGTTTTCAAGGGGGGTCAGATTAAAAGATATTTATTCTATTTTGGAAATATAAAATTTGAATAGGGTGATCAATGATCATACACGTGCTGATAAATGTATCGACACGACAAAAGAAGTACAGAATGAGCAGGATTGGCATTTTTAGTACTTTCTCTTATTACATTTACATATGCCGAGAAAGTATAGGAAAATTATTGTGCAACGTTGTTGACTATGAGATTATGTCATTGTTGGCGGTAGTAGAAGCCGAGTTTTTTCTTATTGTCTATTGATTGCTTAATGAGTAATAATCTTGCAAATCGTTAAATATGTACAGGCGCACCGATTTTTATAAGGAAAAAAGGCTCTGCAGTATCCGTTCGTAAGAAAATGAAATAATTTGAGCTATGAATTTCATCTTGCGAAAATGTAAGCATAGTATTGTAAAATTGTACACGATAACGAAAAAAAAAAAAACAGAGGAAAGAAATATACAGGTCTATGAGTCTTTTAAGAAAAAGGCCAAAAATCATCTGCAAACCACGAAAAAAATTTTTTGCAGTGACCAGAGCAACCTAAAAAATGTTAATCTTTTATCGAATAGAAAACTTTTTCTTCGACTTCGGCCACTCGATAGGGTCTCGATAAGTATATACAAGAATCCATATTTTTTTCCCTAAAAAGTTTTTTATCGATGTTTACATAATACTCTGACAGAAGAAAAGGACGCGAATACATACTTGGGAAAAAATTTACTGTCATCCGTAATTTCGCTATAAGGAGATGAAGAAAAATTCCTTCAGTCCCGTACAAAGAGTAACATACATTTTATCAGTCCATAGAGCATTAGTTTTTTATCAATGCACGGTTTACTAAACAGTGAGATCTGTAGAATATTGGTACACCTTAATTTTCGTATGCAATATTTTATAAGTATCTCACCCAATTCGCGTAATAGCGAAATGCAGTGTTTCTAGTTAACTAATAGTTTACGATATTTTTACCACTAAATTATTCTTCTTTGTCAATCAAGATGGAAAAGAAATACTCGCAAGAAATCATCGAGGTGATCTCAATTCAAGCTTTGCGTCAAAGTAATAGTGGCGGAAGGCAAGCCATCAACTCGATACCAGCCTGTGACTGGCGATATCGCAGTCAAGCCGTAACTCTGCATTTCTGCAGAACTAAAGTCATTATACAACTAGCACAGCACCAGGACCACCTGTTACTATAAGCTACGAAATCGGTTGGCAGATAATTGGAATAATGACAGAAGGTAAAGAATGTTACTAATACATTGCATAAAGCAGGGTACAGTTTGGAGTAAGGGGTAAAACGTTCGTATAAAACTACCTAGTTACGTCTGGGATAGCATCAGTCTTCAAGTTGCATACCCAAAGATAGAAGCCATGGCCATGAGCAAGGTACCTACGCGAAAGAGAGAGAATTTCGCCATTTTAATCTAAAACAAGATTATCTCATTAAACGCAAATCAAGTTCGCATTAAAAACAAATGGAGCCGTCGTGGTTGCGACCATAATATATAATTTAAGTATCAACTTGTTTGATCTCGCTTCAAGTGCTCGTAATCAAAGTCAATTCTCAAAATGAAGTTCGCCGTCTTCTTGAACACATTCGGCGTCGCGATGCCTGAAAAGATTCGGTCGAATATCACTCCTTTCATGCTATTCAAACTTTTTCACCTTTGTGTCACTCCAATTCGCGGTCAAGATACAGAATATTATTCAGCATTTAGATTGGCATTGTGGATGCCATAGAAAAGCTGGTAATCAAGATGGGCAAGTAACCCGTGTCCTAATAATATCTACGACGAGTTCAAAAGGTTACCTCCTTTGATAGATGATATCAGCCACAAGCCCTGTGATATCCTCTTTTACAATAGGCTAGGATATATTTGTCAGAGCCCCTATCGTTTTTATATCTTGACGCAGAATCATACCTCTGAACTTTAATGAAAGGATCCCTAGGAGACGGATTGATCACATACATTTCTATAAATAGTACCAACCCATCCTATTAATATACGTCTATAATGAAGTCTTGAACTATGCAGGCAGTGATCGTCTGCGCCGTTCTACTAGGGGTTGGAGTCTTCGGATTCCCGGATGGACACCATCACGGAGGTATAACTGACCTTCTGAATGCTGCATTTACATATTTGCAAGTAACTTGACTTTTTATTTTTTTTATTTTTTTTTTCAATTTTTTCCAGGTGGCGGTGGCGGTGGTGGTGGTGGCGGCGGTGGTGGCGGTGGCCATGGACATGGCCATGCTCATTCTTTCCAGCACTACCATGGACCAGTAGAAGGACATGGAGTAGAAGTCACATGGAAGGATAAGCATGGGCACCATCATCACGACTTCAAGGCACATCCTAAATACGAATTCGCTTACGGAGTAGAGGATCATCACACCAAGGACTTTCATGGACAAAAAGAGCACCGTGACGGTAATGAACTATCAATAGAACCATAATAATCATAATTATACAGATACACCTATTTCCCCATTTACCCAATTGTATACAACTTGGTATATGAACTGTGAATACTGAATAACAGGCAAGGACGTTGCCGGCGAGTACCACATTCATGAACCCGGCGGTAACGTGAGGACTGTCAAGTACCATGCCGATCATCATGGTGGATTCCATGCTGTCGTTCATAATTCCGGTGGAAACGACCATTCCGGAGGAACTTATGGCGGTCATGGACACGGACATCATTAAGCTTCCCATTGCCATTCATCTCCACGCAATCATCCTCCGGAAGATCGATCTCTAGCGACTTGGACGTCGTATCCTGATACAAAAAAAAATGCGATCAATACGTTGCTAGGAGTCGTCGTTGTTTGCGGACCTGACACTTTGCACTAAAGACCGTTTCGTTTTCTGTTATATTTGTATGTTATCTAGATTTATAGAATTGACGACATACTATTTGGAATTGCTCTGATATATAATAAAGACATGAATATACATTATACGTTATCTTGTACCTTTTAATCAGATCGGAAATCTTAAAGCAGCACGGACCTTTCTATGCTACTAAAATGCAAGATAATTATCATAAATAGACACTGGCGATTGATACCATCTTTCATTAATTGTCTAACTGTAATTTTCTCATTATAGTCACTCCTTGTTTTGGATCTTAAGGCTATAGTAGAAAAGCATGAAAAAATACTCTTTATTCTTTATTAGATCAAGACTATCAGAATACATCGAGCTTCGTCAATCATGATAACCTGACAAACCATTAATTAAACCCTCTTTCAAGATCGGGTGTTACACATAAGATCAGTTCCTCTTAGATTCACTACGACGTCCACGTCTATGGAATCAATGATACGTTGAAAAAAATACTATACAAATACGAAATAAAAGGATAAAAGAGTATTCTATACCGTACCTTTTTGGTAACATGAAAACGATCAAATCGCCAGATAAGAAAAGCCCAATCAATTGTCATAATTAATCGTACACGATGATTAATGTTGTAATTCATCATATTAGGCGACAGGAATTATTTTCTCAAGTTTTTCTATTATATTAGATAAGAGATAATATTATCTCTAATTGCAGAAGCAGTAATAAAATATTGGGAGAACCTGGTTTACCTCGGGGCACGTTCGCATGCTGTTGCATTTTCCGTAATTGTTGTTGCAATAGCAATTACTTTTACGGGCACAGATTTTTCTAATTCGAAGAGCACTAAATATTAACAAGATTTACTGTCTATCTACATGCTCACGATTTTTCCTATACGCGGAGAAACACGAATGATAAAAACTTCTATACTTACAGTGCAAATCACTAAACATAACCGAAATAAGTAACAGGAGAGGCGTGATTATTAAATTGAATTCAGTATAATGAAAGATTGCTACAATAATCAAATAAATTTCATCGTGCCATTAAAATGTTTCATTATCTGTCTTTTAGTATTGTGCAGATAGCGGATACATATTTACTTATTGTATACCAAAGATTACATGTCAGAATGTACTTTAATACTATTTGATGACATTTAACCGATACCTTTTTTTCGCTTAGCACTTATAGGAATTGAAAATTTTTTAACAGTTTAGAACATCTGTAGCTAGTACAATCATACTGGCAATATGTCCTATTAACAATAGTATATAACTTAAAGGGTAGTATAGTGATAAATTTTAAGCACATTGGAATATCTTTTAGTTTCCCTCAACAATTATTGTGCTTATTGAACCTTCTTGCCTCCATATTATTATTTTTTTTCTTAACATTAAAGACCCACCATTTTTCTTCGTATCATATTCAACCCTAATTGGTTCAACGGTTTACCCAGGCATTTCAATACATGCATAGTACATACAATTTTAGTATATTTGTACATGTGTTATTTTGAATCCAAAAACGCTAGTTATCTGCATGTGTTCCTTTGGCATCTACATGTATCTAGAACTTAATTTCTCATGTAAACTTCCATCGATTATGAAGAATTTTTGATACAGAACTTTGATACGAATTTTTCGGATTTTGCTCATGGGCCGTTTTGAGAGGGGAAGTCTGTAAATTTTGTAAACGTTGCTGTTTCATCTACATCCAGAACTTTATATGTTTTATAAATCTTAGTTTGATCGGTTTGAACCGAAACGAAAAGTTTGTTTCAAATTTTGTTCAAAATAATTTGCGTATACATACATACATACATATACACATAC